TGGTCTGCGGCTGCGCCCCGCCGCACTGGCTTCCCTGCCGCCGTCCGTGGCCAGTGCGCGCACACGCACGCCTGCCTGCTGCGCGCCGGAAGCGAGGGGCGGCGCTGGCAGCCTGGAGAGCGGTGTGCGGCGTCGGGGACGAGGGCAGGATGGGACACACACCGAAGCAGAAACGGCTCTGCCAATGCGGGCCCTGGACGCTCGGAGTACCACAGAAGCGCAGGCTTTGGGTGACGCGGGCACGGCCTTCGCGGCCGGGGTGGCGAGGCAAGTGCGTTGACACTCAGATCCGCACTGGTCTCACTGCTGTTAGTGCGATCTAGGGTTCTTAGTGCTCGCTAGTCCCTGCAGCTGGGGAGCACGTCGCCTGCAGTCACTCAGATTTGCACTACGCACCACCACTAGTGCGATCTAGCGTCCTTGGTCCTCTCTCTCTCTTTCTCGTCCCCGCATGCACGAACAGGAGCGGGTCGTCCCCGCGCCATACGGGACGCCAGCCTGCTTGGCTGCGCACAAGGCACTAGAATCGCGCATACGCCGCGCCACAGCGCCTGGCACGCTCGTATGGCCCGTTTCCCTTCGATCTGCCGACCCCGCCGCCACTGTCGCCGCCGCGCGGTGTCGATCCGGACGAGCTCCCAACGCGGAATCCGCCCTTCCAGGCATGCCAGCGTGCCCTCGCCGCGCACACGCTTCGCGGGCTGGCGGGCGGCGGTTGGCCCGCCCACGATAAGCCTGGCCGAGCGACGACCGAGGGGGTCCATCCACCCGGGCGACACTCCGTCCATTTGCGGCGCGTCCCCATCCGTATCGTCGCTGATCTCTGATTCATTAAACAAGCCCACCGGGGCGACAGGGCGCCCCGAGTTCTGGGCTCGGGATGTGGAGACGCCTTGGCCATGGGCCGATCCCGCCTCCGAGCTCGTCGGACCGAGGACCGCGGGGGAAGGGCAGAACTCGCGGTCTCGCATCCAGACGGGGTCGACGCGTCTGCGCACGGGACTGTGACGTTCGAGTGCAGCAGCCGTCCTGCGAGGCTGCCCGGACGGAGATGGGCATGCGGAGGCGGAGGCGGAGGCAGAGGCGGAGACGGACGTCGCCGAGGCGCCACCACGACTCCGGCCAAGCCCCGGGAGCATTTTGCCCTCTGCGCCCAGCAATGTCGCGATCCGCATCTGGGTCCATCCCGCAGCATCCTCCGTGTGGGGCCGTGGGTGCACCTTCCTGCCTTGTGCGAGTGCGCGTGACGTGTCGCTGCCGAGCGCGTCCTGGGGAGGAGAGTTGGAGGCGGACGCGTGTCCGCCCGGCTGGACATGACATGGACACTGGCGGAGAAGAGCCGTGCGCAGAGGCTGGCGAGCTGCAGGTGGCGTCGTTCTCTGTTCAGTCGCAGCCGAACAGCCGAGAGGGAGGGAGTGATAGCCCCCGGCGGACGCAGTCAGACGGCTGCGAACGCGACCCCGCGCCCGCTCACTCATCCTCGCAGGCCAGCTGCTGACGCATGCCCCGCAGCACCGCCCTAGTCCCAGTCCTCCTGACTCCAAGATGCCCACACGGATCTGCTGCACAACATCCAGCATCTTGACGGCACGGCGACAGGTAGCCACCGCGACGCCCGAGACATACACACGCACACGCACACACACGCCCATTCTTCTCCAGCTCCCCGTGGGCTTGGCCGGCCGCTGGACAGCGACCGCACCTGCGAACACCATCGCGCGCGGTGTTCCCGGGCATTGCATGCGTCCCGCAGCGGCTCCTGCGCCGACATCTCGCCGGTCGCCGTCGTCGCCGTCGTCGGTTGCACACGTGCAGTCGTCCTGCCAGCCCAGACGCAGTGATGGCCCCGAGCCAGCGACTCCGCGCTGGGATGCCGGCGGATATCCCTGATGGACGCCGGCGAGGCACCCCTGGGCGAGATGTCATCATGTCGTGATATCGCGCTGATCGGCAACCTCCCCTCCTCATCCTCCTCCTCCTCCTCCTCCTCCTCATTTCGTCCCTCGACGACCGCGGACGTTGCATAACGACCCCTCCCCTTCCCTCCCCGCTTTATCGCACCCACCCTCCCGTCGGCCGCCCGTGCGGGTCCTGCGCTTTCTGTGTCTCGCTGGCTCCTGGCTCCTCAGGTCTCAGGCATCGACCCCTCCCGCACTTCGACACCATCTATCATGCAGGGTGATGCGGCACCATCATCTCCGCGTCCTGTGCACGGCGCAACGCAGATGCCAATCCTGACACACCACCCTAGTTGCTCGCTGACGTCGGTTGCGCACGGGTGAAGATTGCACCTCCTCCCCCTACCCGCCCCAGATCCATTATCGCCGCCGTCGCGGCCGGCCGACTCCCTGCTGCTTGCGCGTCTGCGCGCTCCACCCTTGGCGGTGGCTGCGTCCGCTCCGGGCGAGCGGGGGCCTTCGCCCTGGGTGCTGTGCTGTGTGTTGTCTGTGGAAGATTTGCGGGCTCAAGTGAGTGGTCGCCACATTGGCCCTGCGGTAGCCCCAGGCGCCGCCGCGAGCCGCGCGATGCGAGTCGCCGTGTATTATAGCCCGTCGCGTCTCGCAGCCCGCCTCCTCATACGCACGGCAGCAGATGTAGCGTGCGCGTATTCCCAGGGTCAGCTGCCGCCGCGAGCTGCTCTGAGTCTCAGCAGGGAGGGAGTCGTCGGGGAGCCGGGGGCTACTACTACTACTACTACGAGTGAGCAGTATTCACTTTGCAAAGGCTTTTATAACCGGGCGGTACCCTCTTCAATGTTGATAGGTAGAATATTCGGAATATCATATGGGGTGCGTTGGTGGTTTATTCTCGAGTCTTTCCGAGTACACTGCAACGAAACGAAAGTGGCCGGTGCTCGTGCTACGCGCTCGTGAGGGGCGGGGTGTCCGACGGGTGCGCGCGGAGGCGGTGGCGAGTCCGATTGCCGCGCGCGGGCTCGCTGCTGCTGCGGGGCACTTATGGGCGATGGGTCGTAGAAGTTGCATCCACGATGAATCGATGAAGCCCGCCAGTGACTACCACCGATTGAAGTGCGGGCGGTTGAGGCGACTCTCATCGGCTACTAGATCAGCAAAGTGCACAAAGTATATATGTGACACCATACAATCGTCAGATAGTCCGACATGGCGTGTTATCCAAGCAGATAAGCTCAGGTTTGCCAAGGCCGAGTTGGGGTTTACTGGAGACCACGGTCTGTATATCTGTGCTTTTCTATTCAGACATACTCACACCGAGATCGTGATAGGTTTACAAGTGCCACCTTTGCAGTAGTATTGTTTCGTGCGTTTTGGTCGTTCGGACGTGGTCGCCCGTTTCTGCCCGGGCTACGTAGAACGCATTGATGCGAATGCATATCCTTGCGATCGAGACTCCCTCAATTGGTCTGTACCAAGATGGCTGGCTCTTGTGCGTTCTGGATATAGTAGATTTCTTGTGCGAGCCTCCGAGGGGGGTATACTTGAATCGCTGAAGCGGTCCAAGGGTTGCGTCCATGTATCTACTTATCATCGGGTAGAGTCACTGAACGACGAGACACAATCAACCTGAGTGACTCAAGTTTGTGTGTCGTGCCAGTGCCGGCGATCTCAGCCACAGACTCGGGTCTATAATGAAGGTGCGAATTGCCACTGTTGCAGAATTCGACACCAGCTTCAACTTGGACTTGGACCTCCTTGGACTGAGCCTCAGCCATTCTCTGCACCTGCATTAAATTCGCCACTGGAGTCCAGGGGCTCATGACGCACACCACCTGTGGCACGCGCGGGCGCAACTTGAACACGCACCGATAGTGATACGGAATGCGCGCGGCATCGGGACGCGTCAGGCCTGTGGCTGCGCCGCTCCGCCCACCGCTATTTATCTCCTCCCACCTCCTGCCCACCGCCCTCCCTCCCAGTGCCTCGCATGTCGGCTGAAAACGTGCACCTCCTCGTCCTCGTCCACGGCATGTGGGGCCACCCCGGCCACCTCGCCGCCGTGCGCAAGACCATCGGCGACCTCCGCTGCCAGCCGTCGTCCGCCACGGGCCCCGGCGGCGAGCGCCTCGAGGTCCTCCTCGCAGAGACGAACAGGGAGGACAACACGTACGACGGAATCGACTGGGGCGGCGAGCGCGTCGCGGAGGAGGTGCGTGTGTGAGTCGCCGCGCCGCGCGGCCGCCCCGAGCCGCATACTCATCGAGCAATGCAGATCTACGAGCACATCAAGCAGCTCGAGGAGGCCGGGAAGAAGGTCACCCGGTTCTCCATCACAGGGTACAGTCTGGGGGGGCTGATCGCGCGCTACGTTATAGGGTGAGCAGACCTCGCTGTGCGTATCGCGGGCGCACGTTGACGACTCGGCGCGGGGGCGTAGCATCCTTTATCAGCGGAGGTTCTTCGAGACCGTCACTGCGGTCAACTTTAACACCTTTGCGACACCCCACATTGGGTTGCCGAAATATCCCACCGTGTTCTCGTCGGTGACTTCGTATCTGGGGCCCAAATTGTTGTCGAGGACAGGAGAGCAGTTCTGGGCCGTGAGTCTGCGGCCCCCCTCTCGTTGTCTGTCGGACTTTCTCAAGTATGGTTATTAGATAGACAAGTGGTCCGCACGGGGACGACCTGTGCTGGAAGTCATGGCGGATCCTGGTCAGCAGCGCTGTCATTCTTCGTTCGACCGTGCTGACCAGCGTGTTTAGACCGGCCGTTTTACCAGGCGCTCTGCTTGTTTCGGCACCTGCGCATCTACGCGAATGCGGTCAATGACATGACTGTCGCCTACCCGACAGCGGCGATCGAGGATGAAGATATTTTTGTGAACCACGCAACCAACGGAATCAACATGTACGTTCTCTGGAACTATTATGCGGAGCGGATTGTTGACGTCAGACGTCTTCTGCAGAGAATTAGACGAACAATACTCGCCGATAATCAAGTCTTATTCCCTGCCGGAAGTCCAGCCTGCTCAGGCTCCACCACCAAAGCCATTGACAGCAGACTGGTGGAAGCGATTCCGGGTGTCGATGCCCCCAGCACTGCAGTTCAGTTTCCCTTACAACATTGTGAGTGCCCACGTACCTCTTCTTGTCACGTCGCACCAACCGCCTTGGATTCTAGCTAATCTACATCTCACTACCCATTGTCTTCCCACTCCTTCTCACTCTCATTCTCAGCCGCCTTTCCCTCGCCTCCCGCGCCTCCCGCCAGCGTCTCAAACATCTTGAAAAGGACGAGTCCTCGGTAGACCGTCTCATACACGTTCTTGCGAAGCTAGAGCGCGATGTCGAGGACGCCGTTGCGGACATCATCGACGACCCGGGAGCAATGCCCGCCTCGGTCGGTGCGTCCGCCCATACCCTGACCCCAGACTCAGAGACCCACGCGGGCTGGACGACCCCTGGCCTGGAAAAGGCGGTGGAGGCGGACACGCCGACTCGCCCACAGCACGTCATCCTGTCCGATCTGCAGCTGAGGCTGGTCAAGATGCTGAACACCCTGCCGAACTTGCAGAAGGAGCGCGCGTTCATACACCCGGTGCGGAACGCACATGCGGTGATCGTCTGTCGGGACCTGAAGCGGTTCGAGTTCCACAAGATGGGCGAGGGCGTGCTGCGGCACTGGGCCGACCATTTCATCATGTAAGGCAGTTGAGGGAGGAGGGGGGGCTGTGTTTAGAATGCCATGTCGCCGCGGGCCCGGGCGTGCCCGTAGGTCCGCTCTTTCATCCACATTAGTACTGATCGCGCGGATATTTTTCATATACGGGGACACCTAGTAATTTATCTGTTACTTAATGCCTTGGAGTCATCCTCGCGCATCTCAAATTTCGACTCTTTGAAGGGCACCGTCACGTGGGAGTGAGTACACAATTGTCGCCGTTCTGCTCCTTGCTTTGACGGTGCGCGCCACCTCTATTGTTCTGCTTGGACGTGATAAGCGTGGGGTGAGTGAGGCTGTTCGTCTCCTACTGCCCACATCCCTTTCTGCCCCTGAAGGCTACCCGCTGGTCGTGTCGCCTTAAATCTTGCTGTACACTCACTCAGACTGCACCCCCATCGTTTTGTCATTTGTCTCATAACTAAAATGGTGAGGACCCAGACGCCGGGAAAGCCGTCTATCCGGACTCGTACGTTCTGCGCTGTTTACGAGGACCCCCACGGACATTGACTTGGCGTCGCAAACCAGGGGCGCTGAACACCCTCGCTCGGATGGGGTCCGGCACGTTCACAGAAGACACCGTCCTTCAGAAGTGTGAGTCTACCAAGAGGACATAGCATGAATGCGAGTGAATGGTATCGATCGCAGTGCAGGACGATGCGCGTGCGACGCGCCAGCCCTTGGGCCCCCGGGGGATGCAAAGGGCGAAGGAGGAACTCCAGATTCTCGTTGAGTGCACTGACCGGCTGCATGGCATCGGGTGGCGACCGTTGACGCGAATTCGCTCCGCGCCAGGTACGCCAGGTGTTTCTTGAGCGCAAGGCGCCCCAGCGGTACAAGCAGCTGCCGACGACACGCCAGATGTGAGCCGCCCCGTTCTCCGGGCGTCGCCGTGCGCGTTGCGCTGACCCCGCGGTGCGGCCGCAGGATGAAGGACGTCGTGGGTGCCGTCCAGGCGAGGGAGTTCCGCAGCGAGCGCGCCCACTACAACACCCTGGCGTCCCTGCTGGGCAGGCGCTTCGGCCCGACGCTGCGCGAGACGGCGCACAAGGTACGGTCGATCTGCGCTGCTCCCGCCCGGCGACGTCTCACCCCTGCACGGCCCAGCTGCGCGAAGCCATCTTCGACCTCCAGGCCGCAGCCAGCCGGCCTCCGCGGGAGGTCGCCGGTCGCTTAGCGCTCCCCGCCTCCTCTGACGCCAGCCGGGATCGCGCCGCGGCATCCGCCCCCAGCGGCGGGCCCGGCGCGCACAGCCCGCTCTTTGCGCGCAGCTCCGTCGCGCGGTCGTCGACGCTCGCCAGCTGCCCGGGCGCGGACGCCCCGTACGTCTAGCTGTGTGTAAGACCCGCCGGTGCCGCTCACGTCCTGCCTTGCCTCTCCAGCGAGCCGAGCGCGTACCCCTCGCCTCGGTCCCTCCGCCGCCCGGTGCGGTGGGAGGCTACGGAGCTCGTCGAGCCGCCCTCGCCGACGCCTCGCGCGTCCATGCCCGGTGCGTTCCCCGGCGCGCCCGTGCAGGACGGCGGCGCGGGCGCGGGCGCAGACCCGCCC